GAGTACGAAAATCTCAAAAACATATTCAGCAAAAATAATATTTCACTAATTTAATACCTTGTCTAAATATCAAATTTTTAAATGTAAAATACTTCATATTTAATAATATTTAAATTAAGAAATCCAATCCTTCAAGTAATGCACAGAACAAAAGAAATAGAGTTTCAACTAAACAGGTATAATACTTACAGGAATGGGTCAGGCAATTTTAAAATACAAAAGTATATTAATGATGATGAATATAACATAATAAAATAATTTAGTTAATATGCAACAGTGCTCTTACACAATTTAAAGACAAAATCTTCCATATTTAGCCCGTGTACACACTCGTCACCTCGTGTACACGACTTTTAACACATCAACATTTTCATATCAATACCGATCCTAAGGGAAATTTCCCTCACACAAGGTTAGACAAGTCGTTTATCTCAAACCGCACTCAATTAGTCAAGTAGTATGCCTTTTCCTAGATTTTCTGACTCTGATCGGCACGAATCTAGTCATAATTAATTCGATACAGTCGAAAAAAAAATTATAGAATCAATTCCATAAGGAAATACAATATTTTTCCATAAAAATCCGAAATTAATCCAAAGATCGCCCGTGAGGCCCACATCTCGGAATCCGGCGAAAGTTACGAAATATGAACGCTCATTCAACCAAGAGTCTAACCATACCAAAATGACTAAATTCCAATAACAATCCAACCCTCAAATCCTCAAATCTATCCTAAAGGGTTTTCAAATTTTTTCAACTTAAATCACCAATTAAATTTTAAGAACAACGATGGATTCAGGTAATCTAACCAAAATTGAGTTAAGAACACTTACCCCAATGTTTTCCTTGCAATTCGCCTCTTCTCGAGCTCCAATCCGTCAAAATGAAAAATGGGACGAAGTCCCATTTTTTGAACTTAAACATCTCTGCCCAGACATTTCTTCTTCGCGAACGCGGTCAGTGCGTCACGTTCGCAAAGCACAAAATTGTGGTGCCAAACCTTGCCCTTCGCGAACGCGAAGGCAACCTCGTGAACGTGATGCTTTGCCTGGCTTGGCCTTCGTGAACGTGAACTGCCCTTCACGAACTTGAAAGCAAAAATCTTCTCCGGCCATTTCCCCTTCGCGAGCGCGAGACTCCCCCCGCGAACGCGAAGAAGGAAACCAGAATAGGCATCAGAAAATTTCCAGCATCAATCCACGTCCGAAATTGATCCGATAACCTTCCGAAACTTACCCGAGGACTCCGGGACCTCAACCAAATACACCAACAATCCCTAAAATATCATACGGAATTAGTCGAAGCTTCAAATCACATCAAATAATGCTAAAATCACAAATCACACCCCAATTGAAGATTAATGAAACTTAAGAATTTCCAACTTCTACATTCAATGCCGAAACCTATCAAATCAAGTCTGATTGACCTCAAATGTTTCACACAAGTCATAAATGACATAACGTAGCTATGAAAATTTTTGGAACTGGATTACGACCCCGATATCAAAAAGTCAACTCCCCGGTCAAACTTTCAAACTTAAATTCCTATTTTAGCCATTTCAAGCCTAATTTAACTACGGACTTCCAAATAAAATTCCGAACATGCTCCTAAGTCCAAAAATACCATACGGAGTTGTTGGAATCATCAAAATTTTATTCCGAGGTCGTTTATACATAGGTCGACATCCATCCAACCTTTTTAACTTAAGTTTTAAACTTTGGAACTAAGTGTTCCAATTCATTCTAAATTCTCTCCGGACCCGAACCGACTACCCCGGCAAGTCACATAACAATTATAAAGCACAGAATGAGCATTAAATAGGGGAATGGGACTACAACGTTTAAAACAACTGGCTGGGTCGTTACATTAATCCAATTGAAGCACGGTAAACAATTACAACGAATAAAATAATGATTATGGTCTAAAGGGTAACTTCTCATGAATATATCCCTATTTCTAGTTCAATTAACAATTCAAGAGTTTATTTCGATTACCTATTTGAATCACAAATTTAAACTAGAGCATAAGATGTAAATAAAGTCAATATCAAGCTCCTCTTTCAATTAAGCAAAATAAGAAATAACTTCACAATACGAATTAAAACTCTATCAATTAATTCCAACAATTATCAAGAATCGAATCCCTAATCAAGTTATCAAAACACCGTGTCTGTCAATACCCTAATGGAAATTACTCCATAGCAATGGAAAAGTCATCTTAATAAGGATTAAATCAATGAAAACATCAATGCTTATGATTCAATACAAACTCTCATATTCCACCGATCGTTGGTTGAAATCTTGATGAATTATTGTGTCCTCTTGCCTTAGTTGCTTCTCAAATCTTTCATCGGTCAAAAGTCCTCAAAAAATCGTATTTTTGTTGTATTTATACCTTGTAGGGACGGGCCCGGACAAAACTTCCGCTTCCTAGCCGAAACAGGAAATAACTCTGAGAAACATGTACACCTGCCCCGCACCATGTGGCGCGCTTGTGAGGATCTTCAGAGAAGTGAAATCTTACAGGCAGCCCACTTTTACACTGTCGCGCCGCGAACGTGATCCCGACTTAATTTCTTGGGCTTCTACTTAGACTTCAAAGATCCAACTTGTTTGATTTAGCTCCAAATTAACTTTTTACACGTAATCACTTCGTGCAAGGCATAAACCCATAAAACTTGATCCAAAAATAATAGATGAATTAGATAAAAATATAAGACTTAGCCTAGAAATTGAAATAAACGGCAGATATTTTTTTTTTCTGGGCGCATAGCTACTGGAGGTAATAAGAACAGTGCAAGTAAGCAAGAAAGTAAAATGTTATTGAGCTTTTGATGGAGTATAGTATGTGCTTGTCAGAAAATCAGCCCCTTACAATGATGGTAGAGCTCACTATTAATTATAGTTACACCTAGGGAACAAGGTCCTAGGAACAAGCCCCTCTTTAATGACAATTATGAGGTCCATTGAAGAATATGTAACAGTGGAAAGTGAATTCCATATTTTCTGTAACGGATCATGCACTTAATGCTATAGAATATTCTTCATTGAATACTACCGGATGATGGCATTTATTTTGTCTTTATAAGTATCATTCTCTCCGATGACAAGCGAGACCATTGCCTTCGGGTTTTACATTCTTGTATCCTCGACTCCACATGTCGCTTTCTCATGCAATCATTAAATATGAACATATTTTACCTCATACAGATAGTCCTCCTACTTTCCGATGGCATAACTTTGTGTCACCGGGAAGTTGATAAAGATACCTTTCTTGGCGGAAAATTCTCTGACATCCTCTGAAAAGTTTCTGACAGTTGATTAGACGCACGTTTCTCCGCATTTTAATGCCCCAAACATACGTCATCCCACGATTCAGCATTACTTTTGCCGGTTATCGAGGTAATTATGGCCACGATTTTAGCTGCCTATTCCTTTACTTATAAGCATCAAACTTCTTCATTTACACTTCATAATTCTTCAAACTTTCTCCAACTCTCTTTACTCAAATCGTACTTGTCTTTAAGATTTCTTTAGCTTCCTTCCTGAGAGAAAACTTTCCTCCTTTGCTGATAAAAAATGACCTCTTCTTCTAGGAACCCTAGTTCCTCAAACAACAAAGGTAAAGTTGATGACGTTGCTCCTCCTACGGTGAGCACCATCATCCCAAAGAGTCTTGTCACGAATAAGGACTTCGAAGAGAAGTATCCTTCTGCTCACCCTCGTACATGGTCCGTTAGTGTATACCCTTCTTTCATCTGTCCTTCCAGTATTCCTACTGTGAAGGAAGACTACCATTGCCAAGATCTAGACATTATCGCTCCTGATCTGGAAGAGTGGGTAACCTTACCCAAGAAGGGTTTTACATATTTTTATACGTATCCCTTCACTTTGGGGCCATTCTCTTTGAGTGGAGAGCTTGACTCCATCCTCGTGGAGTTCTTTATTCGCTACCAGGTATGTCTGGCATAAGTAAGTCCTTCTGTGTGGAGCACAGTCACTTGTCTTCGGTGCTTGTGCCAGGAGACCGCAGAGGAGCTAACCTTAGCTCGATTAATAAATCTCTATTCCCCCAAGATTTTCCGAGGGGAATGATAAATTTCAGCAAGCGTGGCCACTATGCTCTGCTATCCAGCATGGATGATGACAACGACCATGGGTGGATGGAACGGTTCATTGCAGTTAAAATCGGTGACATCATTCCGGCTAGGACTTCATCCTTTCCGGAATTATGGAACCACACTTGTAAGTTCTCCATTTTTTTTTCTTCCATTAAAGATCGTCCCATATCGTTATTGACCCCTCTTCTTCCGCTCGTTTCAACAACTCGGTGGATACCACCTTGGACTGAAGGCTTGGACTAGTGGGTCCAAGTTTGATGTTATTACGCCCAAGATCCGTACGTGGAAAGAACTGGCCCTTAAATACGGGTGGAAATCCAAAAATCATGGTAAATCGAACTCATCATTTTTTACTTTTCATATAAGGAAGTTGATTAACCTTTCTCTCTTGTTGAATTCAGGTTTACCCAGGGCTTAGTTGTCGTCCCCTAAGAGGACGTTTTGGCTAATCCCGCTGACGCGGCGAGGCTACTGCAGGAGGCGTTTACCCGAATAAGTGTCTCTAAATCTGCTTCTGGTGCAAGTGCTTCTTCTCGGAGTCCTCGGCCGGAGAACAAGCAACAAAAAAGAAGACGTTCCTCCGCGGTCGGGGAAAAAAAAGGCAAAGAGTGTCGCACCCATGTCGTCTCTGGAAGTTGTGGTGATGAGCCCCGCGCCCTAGCCGGCCATCGACACCGTGGTGATTGACGATGAAGGAGAAGCCAATAAGGAGGGGGCTTCTCTACATAGAAGGCGATGACCTTCCTCAGCTCAACAAAATGTTCAATCTGTTGAGTTAGTTACACCAACCGAGGAAGATGCCTCGGCACTCTGAGGGGAGTATGAGATCGTGGAAAATACCAACACCCATTTTTGAATCCCAGTCATCGTACCAGGTACCATGAGGCTGAGTTTCGGTTCCCTGCCATTATCGGTTGATAAGCAACCAACAACAAGTATTGCACTTGCCACAACCACTTCTTATCCTTTAACGCCATCAGTTTCCTCTCCGTTTTCACCAACTCTTCCTTCACCACCAGCAACTGCTGCATCATCTCCACCAACCGCAATTGCTCGAGAGGAGGATGCCCCTCTTCCCCAGTCCCCCGTGTATGGGAACCTGGGGTAAAATTATGCTACCCCCTCAAAAGATCCCCAAAGGAGGAGGAGCGTCACCCTCTTAGTTTCCACCGGATGAAATCTGTTGTCCCAGCCCGTGAACATGCTAACTGTCTGAAGCCTTGGCTTCAGAGAAAGATTGGAGAAAAATACATACTCTCCGAGGAATGAGATTATTTTTGAGGTTGTAAGCATTTATGTTATTTATAAGTAAGTGCCGTGAAGATTAAAGGGTAAACGAATCGAAGAAAATGAGTTTCGTTGAAGGTGGTCAATTTGGGATAAAATATGGTCCGAGCTATAACACCCGGTATTTATGGACTTGTGCCATACAAGGTACCACATGACCATGATAGTAAGGTGTATAAGGTATGTGAAAAGTGAGTATTATATTAAGTGATTTGAGATAATTCTTAATTATGTGGATAATTGATTAATTAGTGATTTATAGTGGGAGATTAACATGTAATTAGAAATGGATGGATAATAATTTTGGTGGAAAGATCATCCCCTCCCCCCCCCCCCCNAAAGATCCCCCCCCCCCCAACTTGGCAGCCAAGGCTTTAGGAATTGTGACTCTTAAATCCATATAACAATGTGGCACATTAAGAGAATTTTGCGTCCTAGTCATCATACAAGTGGGGCCTACAAACCCACAAGTTAAAAGACATCTTCCTAAGTTATTAGGTGAGATGCTTGTATTTGCTAAGTGATGGATGAAGCTACAAACAAATTTCATATGAGACTTCATAAGGTAAAAGACATCTTAAAGATTCAAAGAGATACACATTTCAATCTTCATAGCAAAGTTAAGTGCTCCAACAAACTCCTACAAGCAATGGCAACGTGAAATTGCTTCAACAAAATTCATACAAGATCTAATTATGTGTGAGGTGCAATTCTAAGAAAGAACGGTACAATCTTTCTCAATAATATCATACGAATATTTTCCTACTTCGATCTGTTGTTATGTGTTGTCGCAATTGAAGTGTGTTAGAGGGATTGTCAAGAGAATCGACTCAGGTATGTTAAGACTATCCCTTCTTTCTTTTGGCATGATCCAAATGATACAAATGGAACGAGCAAAATATGCAACTTTCACAAATGACTCTATTCATAGAAACATTAGGGGTGTCTATATTCTTGATTCCCCATGTGTCTTATTATTCTATCATCTGTTCATGGGTCTCAGAAAATACGTAAGTTGATAAGTTTATTTTATGACATTAATCAAAGGCACAATGGTCATATGACGTTCCGAGAGATTTTATTGACGTATTTTATGTGCACTTCATTCATTTATACATGTACATTTACCCATGACCAGGCGTTATATATGAGTATATTATATGTATATGGGATATGCGAAAAGGTTACGGCGTTATATACGCACCACCATTTGATCAGCTGGTATACGTTGATGATTTGCCCACAGTGTCCGAGATGATATGATGGGATATCCTTAGAGGCTTGATGATGTTATGTACGTATATACCTATGCATGGTATGATATTTATACGCATATGCATGACATTGTAAATATTAAGGATTCACCGAGTTATTCAGACTTACATGTTTCGCTCATATCTATTGTTTACTGATTTGCATTCCTTACATACTCGGTACATTATTGGTACTGATGTCCTTTTTCCTGAGGATGCTGCGTTTCATGCCTACAGGTCCCGATAACCAGGTCGAGAGTCCTCCAAGTAGGCTATCAGCTCAGCGGAAGGTGTTGGTGCGCTCCAATTGCTCCAGAGTTGCTATTTGGTCAGTATGATTAAGATATGTATTGATTGGTATGGCGGGGCTCTGTCCTGACCTTTATGACAATTATGTATCCTTAAAGGCTTGTAGATAGATGTCATGTATAGGAAAGATTGTACGGCCTTGTCGGCCTATGTTCAGTGTAATTTTGGTCTTATAGGCCCTATGTCACATATATAAGTGTTTATGTGAGATTGGGTAGTCTTATATTGAGTATTCCGTTATGTTTATTCTGGTTAGCCCATGACTGCCCATTTGGCCCATTTTCCAATGACAGTACGATAAGAATAATATGTAACGTTGGTACTAGGTTGAGTAAGGCACCTGGTGCCCATCGCGGCCCATCGGTTTGGGTCGTGACAAAAGTGGTATCAGATCAATTCTATCCTAGGGAGTCTACAAGTCGTGTCTAGTAGAGTCTTGTTTATGGGTGTGTTGTATACCACACTTATAAGCAGGAGGCTACAGGGTATTTAGGATTGTCACTCTTTCTTCTTACTCTAGATCGTGTGATAGAGCTCAGTTGTAAGAACTCAATTTCCTAAACTCTATCTTATTCATAATACGATGATGCCTACATCCAGAAAGACGGTTGGTAAGAGATATAGTTGTGGAAGAGTTGTGTCGGATGGACTCGAATTTTGCATCATGCTTATGATGGATAAATATGAGGTATTCAGCAGATCATGTGTTTACTAAGACATTTAAGCTTCTTGATAAGGTTCCCTAAGACAAGAATGTCTATCCACTCTTACGGTAAAAAGGAATAAGAGAATCAGAAGGTAGACACAAGTTTCAGCAAGTAAAAGAAGCAAGGTGAAGAAAGGTATGAGGCACCCAGTTAATGAAGATTGACAGTATTTACAATTCAAGCAGAGAAATATAAGAATTTTTGAGTTAGCTTCAACAATAATAGAGGTATGTACAATTGACCACACCCATCTCATTTATGCCCGATGGGGGCTAACAAAAATAGTATAAGAGAAAGACGGATATCGGGATCCGGCTGGGGTTAGAGTAACCCAAAATAATGGATGGATTGTTTGCGTTAGTTGACATTTCCGAAGGATATTGCAAATGTGCTAATAGATCTCCTTGTGAGACACCCAGATGGTGCACTCTAAAATAGTATAGGTAGATATGAGTACTACAAAGATAGGCACTGAAATCCTGAAAGGGATAAATATTACCTTAGTATGGCTCCCATCCCTAGTAGAGCAAGAATGTAAAGAAACCCGAAGAGCCAGGGGATGGAGCAAGGGGAGCTAAAAGAAAAAGAATGTCTTGCTAAAGTTTTCAGAATAAAGTAATAGGCATGAATGTTAGCAGGGAAATAAGAAGAGAGTTAATGAAGAATTATGAGTAAGATGTGATACATGGATGACAACGGTAGATATAAAAATGACAGTATTACAGAGTCTACAGTCAAGAGAAGGAAAAGACGAGAGGTGACAGGCCTTGGAACAACAAAGGAGTATAGGCCATAAAGTCATATCCTCATTTTGAGAAATAAGTTTGTGACTCTAGCGTGATTACCAGAAGGAAAAGTTAGACCCAGGAGTAATACAAATCAGTATGGGCTGGTGAACAAGGTAAACTAAACATAAATTAGGGACTGAGTGATTTAATAATGGCCGGCATCATGAGAATTTCAGATTTGCGTTCCGGCGATAATAGAATGGATGACAGAAGAATACCCTATAAAGGTCATTCAGGAAGACGTTTCCCTAAAGCAAGTAATGTGAGCAAAGTTAAGCTTAAGGGACTATATGTGCCAGTTACACTAAGTGTCACCCTCGCAAGTAAGGAGATTTGTTATCCTTGGTATAGAAGGATTACCACAAGGCGATTAAGGGTCATCAATGATGTGGAAAGATGCCAAAGATGAAGACGTAAAACATCTATAGGTAGATCATCATAGCACTAAATCTTAGTACTCCCCCAAAGGGGAGAATATGGAGTGATATGGCATTAAGTAAGAATTAAGTGGTTCTAGTAACTATGGAATGGTAAAGGAAGAATGTGATTAAAAAAATGAGAAAGGGATGATATTGCACTTATTCAACTCCTACAAAAATGCTATGATTCCAGAACATTATGCAAGCACGACGTCAAGGAAAGGGAGTAAGGGTTCCTACCTAGGATGTTATTGATAGATAAGGAGCCAGTGCGAGACGTAAGTTAAGACAAAAGAAATAACCCAAGAACTATTACGCGGAGTATTGATATGAGAATGGGCTAACGAGTAGTTAGTAATTGATTCAGGGAGAGCCTAGTTATGGCTAGACAAAAGGATACAGAGAAATCAATAGATCGTGCAAGATAAACTTAGTGAACCCCAACATGGGGAATTTAGTCTCGCAGATATGACATCATGACCCTTGAGAAATATTCAGATAGGAGTTGGGATAGTTAAAGGTACCGTATAAGTGTTACGGAAGTAAAAGAGAGTGCCACTGGGAAGACAGTAAAAATACCAGTTCAGATGTAACCTTACAAGCACAAGGGCGTGGAGATAAGAAACTACGGATAATTATAGGTGAGTAGGAACATTAAAAATTCTATCGAGAATACGATGTGATAAGCTCTCATCTTTACAAGAGTCAGAGGGTCCTCCCTAAGTACTACGATGAAAGACTAGTTGAGGAAATAAGGAAAAAGGCTTCAACCTAAGCACAGTGACCTAAAGAGGAAATGGTCTTATAACAACAGTCTCACAACAATATTGTATGCACTCCATAATAAATACCATGGCTAATGAACGGGAAGTAAAATCAAAAGTAGGATTCGTATGAGTTGCACGAAACTTCCGGTATGCATGGGAATTATGATTAGCCAAGTATTCATGCAACAAGTGGCAGGACGACCAAGAAAAACAATTGCTTGCAATTAAAAAAAGTTGAGAAGGAACGAAAGAAATTATTCGATCAATGATCCAGAGATGATTACATTATGAATGCACCTAAGATTTTGGAGTATTATCCATGCAGCATATATGTTGACAATCATACAGCCGTAGAAGACTCTGGTATAAGTTAAAAAAAAGAATTGAGTCCAAGTCATAGACAATGGATTGAATTGTTAAATGATAGTATCACGGATATTCCATAGCGTCTATGAAAAGCTAAAGTAATAACTCATACCATGAGCCGCAGATCGGAAGATAGCTTAAGCCTACATAAAGGTTGATCAAAGGGAAGAGGAAACTAAAGAGTTACACTAACTAAGTAAATCAGGAGTCTGATTATTAGACCTAGAAAATTATAGACCTCGTGATTGAGAACATTGCAGGACCACTCTTAAATATCAGAGGTACAAAGAGAGATAGTACAATAGCCTCATAAGAAGTCAGTATGAAGCTCTCACCGGATTGTGTATACACCAGAGGTCCAAGTAAAATAATAGAGCATCAAGTTATAGACGTGAACCATACCTATATGGAAGGGAGGTTATGAAAAGAAATAAAAGATGTGATGCCAAATTTTAAGGCATGTAAGGTAAAGGTAAACAACGTACTAGATACTCAAATACAGAAGGTTGTGAATAGTTCATACTTCAGATAGAAGGCTAGAAGCACGGGAATTCAGTATCCAAAAATGATAGAAGCATCGTCAGTGACATATCTTCCAGCCTATGGTTTCTAGGTATCGAGAAGTCTAGTTAATAGAGTAAAGAAGAGTTAGAGACGATGCGATGTCTCACTTGATATTCCAGAATAACACAAGGAAATCTATGGTGCAAGCAAGTTGAAGGAAGGTCGCGAGTAGTATAAATAAATATGTGTAGGTCGCAAGCTAAAGTATGGTAAAGCAACAAAGTTATAGGAAGACAGGAGTAAGAATGAAAAAAGGCGAGTGAGAAGGTGACCGGAATGGATAAATCCTCGGGATTAAGCTCTTGAATAGAGAGCTGATGGTTTCTCTAAGTTATCAAAAGCTCAGTATAGCATAAATGAACTCAAAGGAGTCTAAGACTAGTGTCATTTAGAAGAGATGGAATGTTTCCCAGATAGTAGAATGAGGGTGTAATTGTGATAGATAAAAGATTACGTTTGGGCCTTCGATTGAGTGATGATTTGAAGGGATTTCATAAATCGTACAAGATTAAAATACCCACGTAAGTTAAATCACATTGGGATGCTATGAAATACGGTTATGGAAGTATATTATTGTATCGCCCCCAGGTGGATCAGAAAAATCACTTCAAACATTCCACGATGCAACGTGAGCCCTAGTGATTACGTAAGAGGTTTCAAGTTATCAATGGTAGGTTGTAGATCAATATTGAGGTGAATCAACAATGGATGGATAAAAGTTAAAAAGTATGAGATGAGATTAGGCCATCATTCTTAAGATGAACAGTAACGAAGAAGCATTAAAGGACTTAAATTTATACGTATAGGATAAGAAACGAAAGTAACTTGGAGTTTGGTAGCAGACCTCAGTAACGATAAATTGAAGTAAGAGTTATGGTATAGTATGACCCACCTAGATGCAGTAAATTCATGCGGATAGATAACCGAGTCTATGAAAAAGATATAACAATATTTGTAAGTTTGACAAAGTACCAAGCGAAGAACTTCAGTATACTTATAGATGCCCAGAGGTACATCATGTCAAGCTTTGTATATGTTACAAAGTGAGGCCTAAATATTGGCTAAAACTGGAGGAAAAAGGAGAGAAGAATCATCTAGGCGCACTTACAAGGTCAAAGTCGTACAGGCTGTATGATAGAAGGTAGCAACAGTCACGAGATTAGAAGGATTCCGACCACAAGTAATGGTGTGAGAAAGAAGCCTAAAGGGGGAAATGTCATGGCCTTTGCATTTATTCACAGAACAATTGCCTAGATGGCATCAAGTGTACTAAAGTATTCGGAAGACATAGGTTATAAAAATGATAAGTGCATCAGTCAATATTCAAGGACAAATGTTACAAAGCGGGGAATGATGTTACACCCCATGTTGTCGTACGTGGAAGTATGCCATAAGTAAATTGATACAAGCTCGAAAATGAGATGTTACATCCCACATTTTCATACATCAAAGTTTCGTCGTAAGTTAATCGATGCAGACTCGGGAATGAGATTATTTTTGAGGTTGTAAGCATTTATGCTATTTATAAGTAAGTACCATGAAGATTAAAGGGTAAACAAATCAAAGAAAATGAGTTTCGTTGAAGGTGGTTAATTTGGGATAAAATACGGTCTGAGTTATAACACCCGATATTTATGGACTTGAGCCATACAAGGTGCCACATGACCATGATAGTAAGGTGTATAAGGTATGTTAAAAGTGAGTATTATTTTAAGTGATTTGAGATAATTCTTAATTATGTAGATAATTGATTAATTAGTAATTTTTAGTGGGAGATTAACATGTAATTAGAATTGGGTGGATAATAATTTTGGTGGATAGATCACCCCCTCCCCCCAACGTGGCAGCCAAGGCTTTAGGAATTGTGAGTCTTAAATACATATAATAATTTGGCACATTAAGAGAATTTTGTGGCTTAGTCATCTTACAAGTGGGGCCTACAAAACCACAAGTTAAAAGACATCTTCCTAAGTTATTAAGTGAGATGCATGTATTTGCTAAGTGATGGATGATGCTACAACCAAATTTCATACGAGACTTCATAAGGTAAAAGACATCTTAAAGATTCAAAGAGAGACACATTTCATTCTTAATAGCAAAGTGAAGTGCTCCAGCAAACTCCTACAAGTGATGGCAACGTGAAATTGCTTCAATAAAATACATACAAGATCCAATTATGCATGAGGTGCAATTCTAAGAAAGCACAGTATAATCTTTCTCAAGAATATCATACGGATTTGTCCCTACTTTGATCCGCTGTTACGTATTATCGCAATTGACGTGTGTTAGAGGGATTGTCAAGAGAATCGGCTTAGGTATGTTAATACTATCCCTTCTTTCTTTTGGAATGATACAAATAAAACGAGCAAAATACGCAACTTTCATAAATGACTCTATTCATAAAAATATTAGGGGTGTCTATATTCTTGATTCCCCATGTGTCTTATTATTATATCATCTGTTCATGGATCTCAGAAAATAGGTAAGTTGATAAGTTTATTTTATGACATTAATCAAAGGCATAATGGTCCTATGACGTTCCGAGAGATTTTATTGACGTATTTCATATGCACTTCATTCATTTATACATGTACATTGACCCATGACTAGATGGCATTATATATATTATATGTATATGGGATATGAGAAAAGGTTATGGCATTATATACGCACCACCGCCTGATCAGCTGGTATATGTTGATGATTTGCCCATAGTGGCCGAGACAATATGATGGGACACCCTCAGAGGCTTGATGATGTTATGTACGCATATACCTATGCATAGTATGACATTTATACGCATATGCATGGCATTGTAAATATTAAGGATTCACCGAGTTATTCAGACTTACATGTCGAGTCTTTTACTCCATATTTCTCTTATGTCTATTGTTCACTGATTTTCATTCCTTACATACTCGGTACATTATTTGTACTGACATTCCTTTTGCCTGGGGACGCTGTGTTTCATGCCTGCAGGTCCCGATAGCAAGGTCGAGAGTCCTCCAAGTAGGCTATCAGCCCAGCGGAAGGTGTTTGTGCGCTCCAATTGCTCCGGAGTTGCTATTTGGTCAGTATGATTAAGATATGTATGTATTGGTATGGCGGGGCTCTGTCCCGACCTTTATGATAATTATGTATTCTTAGAGGCATGTAGACAGATGTCATGTATATAAAAGATTGTACGGCCTTGTCGCCCTATGTTCAGTGTAATTTTGGTCTTATAGGCCCTATGTCACATGTATAAATGTTTATGTCAGAGTGGTTAGACCGGCCATGATGTATGGGGCTAAGTGTTAGCCTGTTAAAAACTCACATATCCAGAAGATGAAAGTAGCAGAAATGAGGATGTTGAGGTGGATGTGTGGGCATACTAGGATGGATAAGATTAGGAATGATGATATTCGGGAGAAGGTGCATGTGGCTCCCATTGATGACAAGATGCGGGAAGCGAGGCTCAGATGGTTCGGGCATGTTCAGAGGAGAAGCCGGGATGCTCCAGTAAGGAGATGTGAGCGGCTGGTAGTGGAGGGCACGAGAAGAAGTAGAGGGCGGCCTAAGAAGTATTGGGGAGAGGTGATCAGGAAGGATATGGCGAGACTTCAGATTTTCGAGGACATGACACTTGATAGGAAAATGTGGAGGTCGAATATTAGGGTAGTAGGTTAGGAGTTAGTTGAGTCTTTCCTTACTTTGTACCATTATGAGACCAGTCTGTTAGGGTTTTTGTCTAAGATATTTAGTGGCAATGTGGTGTCTTACTATTTCATTTTTCAATGCAAGACCTATTTACTAGCTATCGCTCTTACTTTGCATCTTTCTTCTGGGTGATACTAATATTGTCTCCTTTTGTCGTTTTGTTTTCTTGAGCCGATGGTCTTTCGGAAACAACTTCTCTACTCCTTCGGGGTAGGGGAAAGGTCTATGTACGCACTACCCTCCCAGACCTCATTAGTGAAATTTTACCGGGTTGTTGTTGTTGTTGTTGTTGTTGTTGTTGGGTCATCTTATATTGAGTATTCCCTTATGTTTATTCTGGTTAGCCCATGACGGCCCGTTTGGCCCATTTGCCAATGACAGCATGATAAGAATGATATGTAACGTTGGTACTAGGTTGAGTAAGGCACCAAGTGCCCGTTGCAGCCCATCGGTTTGGGTCGTGGCAAGAGAATTTATTGAAAAATGCCATGCACAACGCACAGGCAGTATAGTCTTTGTTCTCTCTATTGTTTCTTCTATTTGTGTTATGGCAGTGTTTTGAATTTGCATTCTTTTTTTGCAGGCCAACTTCCTTGCTTCGGAGGGCCTTCAAAGGCTAATCCGTGATAAAGAGGAACTTACCTTCGAGCGAGATCAACTTTTAGCCGAGCTGGACCAAACTGGTGCTCGCCTCTCAGAATTGGAAGCTCCAGTTGCTAAGGCCGTTGAGTTGGAGGCTCGGTTGCAGCAAAGCGAGCAAGAAGTAGTGACCCTTAGATAAGAGGTCGCCCCGTTGAGAGCTCAATTTGAAGAAGCTATGGCCAAATGGGTTGAAATCCATAATGACGTTCTTGATACATCCGATCGCGAGGCCGCCTCCGCTGAAAGATAGAATAATTTGGAGGTGGCCTTAAACTCCAATGCTAAAGAGCTTGTTGTTGCCGAAGAGAAGTATGTCCGGTTGGAGGAGAAATATAAGAAAATCATAGAGCATAATAGAATCTACAGCTCCAATGTCTGTGACTTTGATGTCAGCCTCCGATCCATGAGATCTGCGCGAGATAACCATTCTGCTGAGGTTAGCCAGCTTAAAGAAAAACTTCAGCGCCAAGCGGCCTCCCTCATGAGGAGAAAAACCTTGAAAAAGGACAAAGAGGGTGTCACTGACTTTGATGTCGAAATCGCTAAGGCCCGTGAGCTAGCGTTAGCTGCGAAAAGGGGTCTTCCGGCTCGGCCTGATGCTACTGATTCTTCTGGTTCTGGTTCTGAGTTCTTAGAAACTGAAGAAGAACCTGAAGGTGAAGATGTTGAAGGCCAAAATATTGAACCGGCGGCGTATCCACCTACTTTTCCTGGGGGCGTAGATGTTTTTCTTCCTCCGGCTTCCGGAGATGCAGCAACTTAGTTTTTGCTTTCTTTATCAAACTTTTGTTGTGTTATTTGGCATATTTATCATAAATAGAGACACTTTTTCATTTAAGCATACGTTTTTCTCTTTGCGTCTTTTTGTTTATGTATTTGCGCAAGTTTGCTCTTTGCGTCTTTTTTCGTTTAAGTGTTTGCGCAAGTTTTACTGTTTGCGTCTAATTGTGCAAGGGTTAGGGTGTATTTTCCTCCTAAAGCAGCTTCGGGCATATCCGGGTTCGTTTAGATATGATTATAAATTATGTTTCAGAAAAGATCCGGCATAGTTTTATACGGTATTTTTCCCTGAAAGCATTTGGATTTCGGGCATAAGTTCTTTTGAAATCAACTCTTTAACGTGAGGATTTTCATAAGAGATGGCCCTCTTATGTTTACGGTGCTCTTGAAGAGGACGTCTCATATTCATTACGGCAATAGCATTTGAAGTACTTGTTTAACTTTTCGAATTATAAAATCAATTCATCGTTCAGACAAGAAACATGATAGAAACAAAAGGACTTTACTTTATTCCTTCCATTTTAAAAGTACATAAGCATTCGTTGTGCTAAAAAGAAATTGCAATTTCTTGAGGCTAACTTGTACAAATTGTTTCTACGGGGTTGGCCGCACAGTCCTCGGTCCCGATGATACAACTATATTTTCGGGTTTCGTATTCCGGTCGAAGTGGCAGTCATTGTTTCCGCATCCTCATATCATTCCTCCCAGTGTTTGAATGCGAAGAATGCGAATTTGAACACTGGAAGTTTTACACCTTTGAGGATTCCACTAGTGAATTGCTAGATAATTTTCTGTTCAATAACAAACATCGCTTCCCCTTAGGAATTTACACTATCGAGCCAAAGAGTATCTAACAATCCTCGGGTGGCTATCACTTGTGAACAGTCGGGTAATCTCTGTTCGAAAGCAAACTCAACTTCCCGGTAGGAACTTTGCTATCGAGTAAAATATTATCTAATCGCTCTGTGGTGGTTCTTTGCTTGTATGCCTTGTCATTTAAGGTCTTATTACTGCTGAAGCTTACTTCATAGTATGCTTTCTGTCGTCGTCTCGTTAAAAACCTTGCCATAAAAATCCAATTCGGACAAAAATTAGACGAAGTAAAAAGAGTGCAACACATAATTTTGGTACAAGCGATGTTTATCAGCAATAGTATCTCTTGAAGTGTGCCACACTCTAGTTGCTTGGAAAATTTTCTCCATCTTGATTTTCTAACTCGTATGACCCTTTCCCGGTGACATCTAAAATCTGGTAGGGGCCTTCCCATGTTGGACCTAGTTTCCCCGCATTGAGCTCCCGGGTGTTCTGAGTTACTTTCCTTAAAACCAAGTCTCCTACTTTGAAATATCGGAGTTTGGCCCTTCGATTCTAATATCTATCTATTCGTTGTTTTTGAGTTGTCATCCTTATATGCGCCAAGTCCCTACGTTCATTGAGCAACTCCAAATTGACTAACATTGCTTCATTGTTTGCTTCTTAATTTGCCCGAAAATACCTCAGGTAGATTCCCATACTTCCACCAGGATTAGGGCTTCTGCCCCGTACAAAAGAGAGAAAGGAGTCTCTCCCATTCTCGATTCGGCCGTTGTTTGGTACGCCCATAGTACACCTGGAAGCTCTTCGGGCTATTTACTTTTAGCTGCTTCCAATGTCTTTTTGAGATTTTGTATGATCACCTTGTTTGTTGATTCTGCTTGGCCGTTTGTGCTCGGATGATAGGGTGATGATATGATCCTCTTGATTTTCAAGACTTCGAGGAATTTTTTGACCTTCGTGCCTATAAATTATGGAACATTGTCGCATGCTATCTCTTTTGGTATTCCAAATCTACAAATAATTTTCTCCCACAAGTAATCTACCATTGCAGGTTCGCCGATCTTCTTATAAGCACTTGCTTCAACCCACTTAGAAAAGTAGTCAGTTAAAATCAAATAAAATCTTACCTTACCGGGGGCATGTGACAGCGGTCCGACGATATTCATTCCCCACTTCATGAATGGCCATGGTGACAAAACTGAGTGCAATGGTTCTGTCGGTTGATGTACCAATGGTGCGTAGCGTTGACATTTATCACATTTTTGGACATAAGCTTAGGCGTCTTGTTCCATCTGGGGCCAATAGTATCCTTCCCTTATTAGTTGTAGTGTTAAGGAATCTGCGCCTGAGTGATTTTTGGATCCCTTCGTGAACTTCTCGCATAATATAATTAGCTGCGGAGGCTCCTAAACATCGGGCCAACGGGCCTTGAAAAGATCTTATGTACAATTGACCCCCCTTGAAGCTGCATCGAGCTGCTTTAGTGCGTAGTGATCGAGATGCCTTAGGATCTTCAGGCAATTTCCCGGGTTCGAAGTGGTCAATAATCTCATTTCTTCAGTCCCAGACCAAATTAGTCGCGTTTACCTCGTAATAGCTATCTACGTCCAGTACAAAGTGCAAAAGTTGTATGACCGTACCGGAGTCCGATCCTTTCATTTTTGTAGACAGGCCAAGGTTAGCTAGTGCATTTTCTTCTGCATTCTCTTCCCTCGTGATATGCGTGATTGAAAACTCCCTGAACCGAGCAAGTAGAGCCTGAACCTTCATTAAGTATTGTTGCATGCATTCCTCTTCGGTTTCGAAGATCCCGTAGACCTGATTTACCACCAGCTAGGAGTCCTATTTGACTCTATGACCTCAAAGTCTAGTCCCCGAGCCAATTCTAACACTGCAATCAAAGCTTCATACTCCGCTTCATTTTTAATTAGAGGAACAGTTCTTATGGCCTGCCTTAGGGTTTCTCTCGAAGGCGCGGTTAATACTATACCGATCCCGGACCCTTTCACATTGGAAGCTCCGTCCGTGAACAAGGTCCAAACTCTCGATGTCGATTCTGACACCATTACTACTTCTTTGGTAGCCAGAGGTAAAAGTCCTACACTGAAATCGGCCATAAAGTCGGCCAAAACCTGTGACTTAATTGTAGTCCTAGGTTTATATTCTATGTTAAATTCCCTCATTTTGATGGCCCATTTGGCCAGCCTACCTGAGAGTTCAGGCTTATGAAGAATATTCTGTAGGGGAAAAGTGGTCACCACAGCTATCGGGTGACATTGGAAATAAGGTCTTAGCTTTTGAGAGGCGACTACGAGGGCTAAGGCTAATTTTTCCAGACGTAGGTAGCGAGTTTCTGCTCCCGTTAAAATTTTAATAACGTAGTAAATAGGAGATTGCGTACCTTCGTCCTCACTTACTAAAACAGTGCTTACCGCAACCTCCGAGACCGCTAAGTAGATCAGTGATTGTTCGCCTCCCTCCGGTTTTGACAGTAACAGAGGACTTGAAAAATACCTTTTCATATCCTTCAAAGGTTGCTAGCATTCCGGTGTCCACTCAAAGTTATTCTTCTTTTTGAGAAGTGTAAAGAAATGATGGCATTTTTCGAAGATCGGGAAATAAATATGCTCAAAGCGGCCAATCTCCCTGTTAGCCTTTGAACCTCTTTTGCGCTTGATAGCTAGACCGGGATGTCTTCGATGGATTTGATTTTATAAGGGTTAACCTCGATCCCCCTCTCTAACACCAGGAACCCCAGGAACTTACCAGAACTGACCCCGAACACACACTTCTCGGGGTTACGTTTCATGTTATGCTTCCTTAGGATGTCAAAAGTTTCTTGCAATTGTTTAAGATGATCACCTGCGTTCAAAGACTTAGCAATCGTATGTAAACTTCCATGGTTTTACTTATTTGCTTTTCAAATATCTTCTTCACGAGTGATAAGTGGCTCCGGCATTCTTTAGCCCGAAGGGCATCACATTGTAACAATATGTGCCAAAGTTCATGATAAATGAAGTTTTTTCCTGATCCTCCGAGTTCATTTTGATTTGGTTTTACTCGGAGTAAGCATCAAGGAAACTCATTAACTCTTTCCCAGTCGTTTCATCAATCATTTGATCAATGTTTGGCAATGGGAACGAGTCTTTTGAGCACGCCTTATTTAAGTCTTTATAGTCTACGCACATGTGAAACTTATTATTCTTCTTTGGAACTACTACTACGTTAGTAGCCAATCAGGATACTTTACCTCTCGGATTAAACCGATATCAAGCAAGTGAGTTACCTCTTTTTTGACAAATTTGTTTCTGACCTCGACAATAGGACATTTTTTCTATCTTACCGGAGGGATGCTGGGATCCAAGTTTAGCTTCTGTACGGTCACTTCTGGCGGGATACCTGTCATATCCACATGAGACCACACATAAAAATCGACATTAAATTTAAGAAATTTAATAAATCCATACTTGAGTTTGGGGTGCAGCCCTGTTCCCAAGTTTAACTTCCTCTCCAGGAACTTTTTGAACAATGCGACTTGTTCAAGTTCTTCTGATGTGGACTTTGTTGCGTCCGTTTCTTCTGGTACCTGGAAATATCTTGGCACCTGATAGGATTACGACGATTCTTCCCACTGATTGACTTCGTTCGGCTTGGGAGCAAGCGTCGGTTCCTGTAATTGCTATGTCGCATGCTCTTTCCCTTTGCTACTGGAAACTGAGATTGCATTAATTTCTCTTATTGCCGGTTGGTCACCTCTTATGTGTTTAATCCCCTTGGGAATTTCAGTAATTAATGATATGTTGATGGCACAACGTTCATATCGTGCAACCATGGCCTCCCCAGGATGATGTTGTAACCCATGTCGTCGTCTACCACCTCGAAAGGGTCGTCTTCATCACCACCTCAACATTCGTGGGCAGCAGGATTTCTTCTCAGGTCGTTACGCTTGCTAGGTTGAACCCGGAGAGGAGTTTTGTGGCCGGAATGATGCTTCCGGTGAGCTTTGCTTGTTCCAACACCCTCCATTGTATGATGTTGGCCGAACTTCCTGGGACCACCAAAACACGTTTAATTTTAAAATATAAAACATTCAAAGAAACTACAACGTATCATTGTGCGGTAGCAACAATCCATCTGCATCTTCCTCCGTGAAATTAATGTCATCTT